CCTTTAGGAGTGTTTTCTGGTAAAATCTGATGAGGTGCCACACCCTGGCCCCAAAGTATTTTTGGTATTCCCAGGGGACTTCGTTGCTTGCTCCCCTTGCTATTCTGTTGCACACCCTTAGTGTTTTGCCTAGGTGTGGTGGGGTCAGATTGGTTACAATTCCAGCAGTTTCCAGCGTTGTCCCCTGTAGGGCTATGGGTCAGTGAGCCATGTTGGGGCTGGCCACATGGTCCTCTCTGTGCTTTGGCTGTTCTGAGCAGGGATGTCGTCCTCAGGGCTTGGTGGGCCAGGATGTGCTCCACTCTCTCTTCCTCCCCCTTCATTTGCTCCTGTGTGCTCTGATCAGATGTGTCCCTCTCCCTGGGCTGTGACTTCCGTGCTGATCTCTGACGTGAATTCTTCTGGGGGGAGTCCCTTCTGTTCTAACTTGTCTGTGAGGAATTTTTATCTTAAGTATTTATTCATACTTTCTTAGAAATAGCCACTCTTCTGACTTTTATGGTAATCACTTCCTTGTTGTTGTTGTTGTTTTCTTCCTTGTATTTTAACAGCTTTACCACCTATGCATAATTCCTTATACAGCATAGTTTCATGTTATTTTGAACTTTATATAAAGGAAAGTATGTGGGATGAATTCTGTCATGTCTGGTTACAGCTTGCCTACTAATTTAAAAATCATGTTGTTGCTGTAGCTCTGTTTCATTTTCCTTATTGTATTCATTTGGTTGTCCTATTTCTGATAGCTATCTGGGTTTTCTTAGTTTGAGCTATCATAGACAGTGCTGCTAGAAATATTCTCATTTGTATATCTTGGTATACATCCGAGTAGATTTCTTTCTTTAAAACAAACAGACACTGGGGTGAATGTTTACAGAGCAGAACAGCTTTCCAATCAGCAGTTCACACACATTTGACTTCGTGTCCTTGATTTGATGACAAGCCCACAGGGTCACGTCACTTAGTCCACTTCCTCCCTGTGTTTCCTGTTGACTTCTCCCCTAACCCTCTGAATTTTGTCCTGGGACAAATGCTCACTAACCCTTCCCCAAAGAACCTGTGCTCTTCAATTACACCATGACAAGGCAGCATTTTGAATATAACCCAAATTATATTCTTTTTAAATCTTCTTTGAGTTCTCAGAGTATCAGAAGGGGCAAAGTTAAAGCTCTAGAATGATTGGGGTGGCATTTCCTGACAAAATTTTCCTGGGATAGCCCTTGCTACCCCTGGAGACTGTGCATTGTTGTAATGAGGGGGGAAAGCCTCCGTGTATGTAGTGTATGTATGTAGTCCTTTCTTGACTTTTTCTCACTTTTTCTCTTGTAATTTTCCATTCTTTTTCAAACTTCATCACAATATGCCCCAGTAATTGTCCTGTCTCCTTGGAGAAACTCTGTCAAGATTACCCCTAAAAGCCACTGAATGGACTCCAGTTGAGTCACCCCGGTAGGGTTTTGCTGAAACTGCAAACCTTTACAGGCACAGACAGCCCTACCTCTCTCCTTCAGAAGGACTGGGGGATGTGAACCTTGCAGTTAGCAGCCCAACGCTGCCCCAGCACCCACAGGGCCCCTTTCAACAATCCCACTGCCATCAAGTGGATTCCAGCTCACAGAGGACAGAGTAGAGGTGACCCTTGGAGTTTCTGAGACTCAATCTTTATGAGGGAAAGCCTCATCTGTCTCTCTTGGGGTGGTTGGTTGATTCAAACTGCTGAACTTCTGGTAATACAACTACAACACTATGAAGGTTCCTTTTAGAATAATAGTAATAATAATGAAAAAACAGTTGTTATACGCATGTGAACGTGGGCCGTTGAATAAGGAAGACCAGACCAGTCATACAATACGTTTGAGCTGTGGTGCCGGCAAAGATTATGGGAATTACTGTGGACCACCAAAAGAACAAACATCTGTTTGGGAAGAAGTTCAACCAGAATTCTCCGTAGAGGCAAGGATGGTAACATTTTGGCTCACGTACTATGGACATGTTGTCAGGAGAAAAGACTTCATGCCTGTATAGCAGAGGGGCAGAGGGAAAGAGGGCGGCCTGGGACAAGCTGGGCTGACACAGCTTGTGGCAGCAGTCACGGGCTCCAGCGTAAGGACAGTGTGATGACAGTGCAGGAGCAGGTGGCATTTCCTTCTGCCGTCCACGGTCACTGAGGTTGGAGCCGACCCAACAGCACCTGAGAGCAACAATACAACCTTCTGAGCTCACCTCCTCTGCCTTG